TGTAGGCAATTCATGAAATATTTAGAAAACTTGGCAGATTGGAGCGGAAAAAAAGGGGCGGGGGGGTGGCAAGGCAGCAGAAAAGAACTTTGAAATGGCATTTCATAGGAATGACTGAGTAGCTCCCCACCAGAGACCAGAGATCTGCCCTAGGCGTTACCTGCTAAGTGGGAAAGGGACCAGGTATTGCCACAAGGAGAAGAACACTCCCACTGCTCCCTCCTGCGGCTGTGCTGCTACCTTTTTGCCAGTCACTGCCAGGACGTGATCTCTCTGCAGTTCCCATCTGCAGCTCCTACCACATGGATGTGGGGAGAAATCTTCTCTTTATTTCTAGGAGCGAGTAAATAAACTTAAATAAATTAAGGTGTCTATTTTCTGGAAACTAGTCTTCCAGTCTACCATTTTGCTGTATGTAATCTGTAGCTGTTTCTTCTGCTCCTCTCACATGGGAAAACTGTCTCGCTTACATGTATGTCACCTTTCTCTCTTTCCTTGAACACTTCTCCCATATCTTTCTCCTGCCTATTTTGAATGGTGATGCTTTTGGGTTTTTCACCCTGCTTTTTCTTCTAAAGGAAGAATACATTGGTGTAAACCTGAGAATAATTGCATGCTATTCTAGTAATGTCTGTTCTGAAAGAGCCATCACATTTTGACTCAGAAGTTGCTGTATTTAGTAAAGGCTGCATGGATCTTTCCCAATGCTGAGTTGCTTTAGAAAGAGGTTTAATATTTCCCAAGACCCATGGTATAGCAGATAGTGTTTCAAGTGGTTTGTGGCTGTAAACAGCTTGACTTTTTCTCCACGTCTTCTTTTTTTTTTTCCGCTTTTTACCCTTGACTGGACTTTAGGAAAAGAATTATTTTTCATTACGTATTTTCAAAGACAATTTTTAAGCTTTTTTTAAATGAGAGAAGCCAAGTGAATGCATCAGAATTGTTGTTAACATGAAAACCACACCTTTCATTCTTGAACCAAGTATTAAAATGAGTTAGTTTGTATCTTATTCTAGCTGAACTCATTATACTTGCAGCTGCTTGCATTACTGCAGAAGGAAAAGGACTTCAGACCTCTGATATCCCACCTCTGTGCCAATTAAAGCTTTTTTACAGCCGTATCATTATGTGAAACATACAGAGGTTAAAAGCTCTCAATGTTTGCTTTCAAAACACTCTCCATTTGTATCAGAATTCTCCTGCTGCATTCCTAGATTAAGGGTTACCTTGCAGCAATCTTTATTTCTGAAGGCAGTATTTAAGAAAAGGGTTTGAAGTTTTGGACTTTCCCCCAGGTTCATTAAACATCCATATGTCAGGATTGCTCTTTCAGATATTGAAGTTAAGCAGAAGGATATTCAGAAAAAAATGGAGCTGGCCAACTGAAAAATGTAGGCTTTTTAGAACTGTCTTCATTTGAGAAGTTAGGCATGCACTCTGAGCTTTTTGCCCTCTAATCAGCAGGGTAAACACAAGTAACAATGGCCACATACCAGCACCCACCTTGGCAAGCGCCAAGGTTGAGGAAGAATGCAAGGAGAGTTAGGCATTTAAGTTAAAACACGGACGCCTCCCTGTCATTTGTGATACTGCAGGGAATAAAGATTTTTTATTTTTTTTGCCTTGACAGTATTTTGAAGTATCATATGCTTTTCCTTCCCACACTCAGACGTGTTACATCTCCTCCGCTTCTTTCCTCTACTCAACTGTGATTCTGAAAAGTAAAAATAACGGGTTAGATTTGGTCAGGACAGCTGTATTCTATCTGAATTCCTCCTGATCATAGCTGGAATTGTGTTCACCTGTGCTGAGTCTGTTTCTCTCAGAATTGATTACATTATTTTGTTAGGGATACAAATTGCATTAAAAATACTGTATACTGTAAGCAGGATTCATAAATAACTGTTTTAACACAGGTCCTAGTATTTCTCTTGGATCTCTTTCAAGTCCACTGATTTTCCCAAATATCGAGGCAGCAACATACTTTTTTGTAGGTTTTCTAGCATCTTGGATTTGGATACTAATGCACTGAGAATGTTGCTGTAATTCTTCAGTCAGGAAGAGATAGATGTGACAGTTTTTAATGCATGAATTTTGAGGTACACATGATATTCATATTTCTTTCACCTAATTCATAAAACTTAGGACTTCCTAGTAATATGTACTCTGTCCCAAAGAAATTATATTCTCTTCAAGAGATATTTAATTAGTGTGCTCCGTGAGATGGCAGCAAAAGGTTTGATGTCCTCATAGGCAAAAGGAAGTAAATTGTCATTCTCAGCTGCCTCTCTTAGAAAAGAAAGTGCTCTGTGCCACCTCAAATACTATGCAAGGGGCGAGAGGAGGTGTTGTGGCCCTCCTGTTTTTCTGTAGTTCACCATTCTTCATGAGTCCTAATCATGCTCCTGATAACTAGCTCCTTTTGCCACCTTGACTAGATAGTTTCTTTAAATACTCATAACTTGACAAACATGTTGTGCAACAAAAATAAGCAAAACCAAACAAAAATCAAACAAAAAATTAAAAAAACCCCACTCAAACCACGAAACAAAACACCAGGCATCTGAAGCTTTTCCATTCTTTTAGTGATTCTGAGGGCTGTCGTGGTTGTTTATGCCTTTTTTATCTTTGTGGATTTTAATGCCTTCTCCCATGGTACTAAGTGGATCTATTAATTCCCCATCACTTTCCCTCTGAGGTGGTTAATATGCTTTTCATGCTGTAGTGTATGGTTTGACTTTTCACTACACTGGTTTCTAATAGCTTGCAGTCACTAGCTTTTTTTGTGTCTTGTTGCCTTTTGTTAATAGTAGTAAAAGTAAATTCTTTTTAGTGACTGTGATAGAATTTCAATTAATATCTGTTGAGCAACAGCTACCCTTGAATCTTTTAAAAGATCACTGTGTGGTTTTGCTGACTTACAATGTGATTTATCAGCTAAGATCTAGAGTAAATTTCTTCTGTATTGCATGACTACTTAGGAAGAACTGCCAGAATAGACAAACTTGAATTTACTGGCCTCTGGCTACAGCTAGTGTTGGCAACAAAACATACAGCACATATGGGAACACCTGTAAGATGTTAATTATACCACCCAATGGGCTTCTGTGCAAGGTCAGCCAATCCAGAAAAATCACTGGCTCTTTACCTCCTTGAGACACCCTCTCTGAATGTAATTTAAAGCTGACCCCTTTGCCTTGTCAGTCCTTTTTGAAATGGGATCCCCACATTACCTCTCTTCCAATGTCACGTGTGTTTCTTGAATCTTTGTTATTACTATTTTGGGAAAATCATTGAGGATGAAGGGCTAAGAAAAATCCAGGGGAAGGGATGGGTGTTTTGTTTTGTATAATAATAGGAAAACAGGACAACAGCGTCAAGCTGTTCTGTAGCACTCAAGCGGCATATGTTATCCATGGATCCTACATTTTAGAGTAAAGAATACAAAGCATGGAGCAGGGGAATTACATGCCCACGGTCATATAGCAGCTCAGTGGCAGAGGCTGATTTCTGGTCTCCTGGCCCAGGCTGGCTTCGCAGATACACTTAGCTTTAACTAGCAGGGGTGGAATTTTATTGTCAGAGAGTTGAGTAATTGTGTGTGACATGGATATGATTTTCTGATGAAACCACGAAAAATTGAATATTTGCAAAATTATTTTTTAAAGCTGTCATTATTCTTTATTTAGCCATATGCATGAGTATTTCTCAGTAACTGCTCAAACAAGCGCAAATAATTAAACAAGACAATAAAACCATAAACCCCCCAGATAATACATATAAGCTTTCAGTGATGCTTTCAGCCTACTGGAACAGTCCTTTGAAAGCATTTCACAGCTTATTCTCCATCATGGCTGAGTATTCAGTAGCTCACAACAGTCAGAGGCCTCCGCAAAGCTCCGCCTGGGTGAAAACTGGGCTGCAGAAGCACCATGATGGGCTCTGGTGGCATGTAGATGGGCAGTTATCCTATACCATACTTCTGGGGGCACCAACTGATACTGCTGTAAACTCCTCACAGAGATCTGAGGATGTTTTTCTCCAAAGATCATCTCAGAGAAGGGATGTGGCACTTATAGTTAAGCTAATGGAGAATAAACCCAGATGTTTTTAAACCTATTAAAATGTATGAATAATGTGATACATCCAAATAAGTTCAGTTGCATTGTTCCAATTCTCTGTATATTCACACCCTCAATTTAAATTGTGATTCATATTTTCATTGTAATGAATGTTTTGGCTGTTATGGTAATTGGTAAGTGGTGCGTTTGAAAATGGCATAAAAGAAATGTTTTGTTAGGGGAAAAAATATCCTTTGCAGGCTGTGCCTGGGTGGTGCTGGGTGTTGGACCTTTGGTATAGATTGCTAGTCAGCATCAGAGCAGCTTCTGGGGGTCTTCGTTTTCCTCAGCTGGGATGGGGAAAGACCCTGTATAACATTGCTCCTGCCTACACCCATCTTACCCATTATAAGCCATTCAGACCTTCAATTTAGTATCATGAACAAACACAAAAAAGGACGGAAGTAACTTTCTGGCACTAACAGCCTATTCTTTACATAGCTCAAATTGATTTATTCAGGTCAGAAATCAAAGACAGTTTCATTTCTTCAACTGGCAGGAAAACTATTAAGCTTTAAAACCTTCAAAGACATGAGTACCTTAAAAATCATACTTGTGTCTGAATTTTCTGTATTTTGTCTACGACATTTACAAGTGACTACTAAAGAAGTATGAGTGGAATATGTTCCTTATTATTTTAGTTGTGTTTATTTCATGCATGCAGCAACATTTTGCATATTGTCACTCTCATAGCTTTGCCTTCAGAAGCACATAAGCAGTCCTGTTTATGTGGGTATTTCACACAACAGAAAGAGGGATAGGAGCATTAGAGAAACATTTGTTATTTTAGCTATAGAAATCAGTCATAAGAAACCTGAATAGATGGAATAAAAATTGCATGTAACCTATTTTTCTAAGACAGTAATCTTGTATGACTTTCCTTTTTGATTTGCTGAAGTCTGAGGAAATGTAGGTAAGAGTAAGTGAGAAACAGAAAATAATTTATTATTTTTAAGGAGTTACTGATCTTTTGTTAGGCAACAAAATAATTGTGAAAAAGAGCTGTACTTTGAAAGAAATCCTACTATCTTCTGCACAAATGTTTATGCTGTTGTATCATAACATGGTATTTTTTTACCAATGTGATTTTTTTTTTATCTTATTATTAGAATTTGTGTTTTCTTTCTAAAATACTTTATTATGTAATAGCCTCCACAAGACCAATTTACTGTAAAGATAACATGGATATCTAGGTGTCTAGTACTAAAATTACAAACTTAATACAGAAAGAATGGATTAAAGAAAAATAGACTAATTAGTTTTAGTGCAGGTCGTTGTAATGCAACATAAAAAATTAAATACCTGAGTGGAAATGCGGGTAACCTCTCATATCTCTGAGATATTTCCCAGTAACCAAAGCTAAGATTGATTATTCATCTATGCCAAAATGTAGGGGGTTTTATGCTTTGATTTTCTGAATCCATTCAGGATCAGAGACAATTTTTGCTGAATTTCCAGTTGACTTATAAAGCAAGAAAATCTGTTCTTGCACATGTCCGGTGTCAGCTTTACAGACCTTCTTGTCTCACTATGTGCCCAGAGACTGCCCTACACCTACAACTGTCACAAGAAAAATTATGTTTACACTGTTCTTACTAGCATAGATACTCAGAGGTCAAAAGTTTTCAGACTTGTTCAGAAGGTATATCTGGCTCTATGGATAGGATTCAGATATTTTTATTACTTGTCTGAGGATACAAATGCTGTTTCAGTTTGATTTTTGTAGTTATGCATGCTGATGAAATCACCAAATGATTGAAGAAGGTGCTGACTGTCCTCTGAGATGTGTTTTGTGATCTCAGTTTCTGCATGGACAGTCACAAAAACAGGCTTTTAGTCAAAGGGATCAGTGTTCCCTACCATTGTGGGTAGAACAATCAGTAATTTTGCTACTAATGCATTTATCAGCATTTTGATGTGGAGAAAGTAATGGAGATAATCAGTACTGGCGCTTTCTGCTACATAAACAATAGTGAATGAATGTATTACTTGCAATGCCTAATTTTAATTTAAAAATGCATTAGAGCACTTCTCACCCTGCTCCGATGTGAATTCTGATTGAATAGCATCAATAATATACTTTGCCTTTTGTGTATTAATTAATTTTATTCTCTATGCTACAGTATTCAAAAACAGATAGGCATCCTGGGCCTATTCTTCACAAAGTTATGGAGTCTAGTTTTTCAGGCCCTCAGTCTTTCCCAGAGGCCTTGTCTCCTGACAGAGGAACCCAGCCCATCAAGCAACATAGGTAAGCAAATGTCTGTCTGATGGGAGATTTGGCAGGCTACCGAGGGATGTCATTGAACTGATGATATGTGTGTGCTGTGAATAGCAGAGATGCTGAATGGTGTGGTACCAACAGAGCCTCAGCTGACTCATTAAGCAGATGTCCAAGCATTTTCTTAGCTGCAGACATAAAAGGCAATAACAGTGCTCAACAACTTTATCTGTGATTTGTAAAAGTCCTAGAGGAAGCATTTAAAGACACCATCCAAGCTGTAGACAGAGAACAGTGAATGAAACAATTGTAGTTTGAGAAACCGTAAAAAACAAAACTTTCTTTATCAATGTTCATGAAGTTACTGAGTTATTTTCTGCAAACTTACAGCTTTTCTCACTGTTTCTTTAAACAAATAAAACTTGAAATGAATACTTACTTATTTATAAACACATCGTGGACCTTGAAAACCGATCTTCCAAAAAGTTTGGATGATTGTTTCCAAGAAGAAATAAAGAGGAACATCACCCATCACTGAATGGCATTTGGATTAGAATTCTGCTAGTAGCCTTTTTGGATGAAAAAGAATGCAGGTGCTTCATTATGAGACTAGAAACCAAACTCGTGTCTGGTATAAGCAATAATGTTTTGGAATGGCACTGGTAATAATGTTTGGTCTTTGCATACAGAGAGAAAAAAGACTGAGAAAAATCAGAACATTTTAGCTATGTAGTCTGGAGGGGAAGACATTTATTAAAGGATAATTTTTAAAATTACTAAAACAAAAGCCTGAGATTGCATGAAGTTACGATTTAGCTTCTGTAGTATTTCATTCATCTTCATGGCAGTCCCCCAATTAGCTACATGTTCCTTTTCTTTTGAATAAATTATTTGCTTAACCTACCAAAGTGCAGCATATGAGCCAGGAAGGGATATTTGGGTTCTATCTACTTTTACGTTCCTTAAGCCTTTAGTTTGGCATGAAAAAATAATGCCAAATGTTATGTCAGATCCGTTTCTTAGGGCTTATTCTCTATGACACAGAGATTTTCAAAATGTGCATAGTAATTTTACTGAACATAGATGAACGGTGGAACTGCTGCCTAGAATTCTGTCCATGGAAGTTTTGGGGGAAATTTTATCTCCGTTTAATCAAAAGGTGAAGGTCAGAAAAATGAGTAACATTCCCTTACCTTTAATAACATGATTGCAATGTCTAAGTTTGAAATGTTTTAGGTGCTGTACCATGACATTACTTAAGCTTAAAAATGTGGAAATAAAGACTGAAAATATTTCTTCTCTTTGGGAACATCAGATCACTTAAAATGAAAGCTATAATAACAATAAAAGAGGAATGACTATCCAGACTCCCTGTTTTCCATAGTGAAATTAAAGAATAAGCCACACAGGGAACTACTGCGGAATCCCAGATTGCTCGTTTTAACACATCTTAAAAAAAAAAAAAAAAATCAAAACAAACAACAAGCAAATAAACTACAAAAAAAAAAAAAAAAAAGCACACACAAAAAACCCCAACAACTCAACAGTCATCTTACTTGCAGGTCTCAAGCACCAGACTATCTTACGAGTCTTTGCCTCAGAACTGTTTTAAGTTGTGGAATGACTAGCTTAATTTATAAAGAATTATTTTGTAATTTTATAACTTAGGATTTATTATACAAGGCCCTTGCTTTACAGTACATGCAACAGACTTGAATATCGAACACTTATAAAGCTATCTTTAATCTATGTGCCATGTGATGGCTTCCTAATTCAGCTACTAAATAGTTTTCAACATAACCAAATGAGGAAACTTATTTTTTTACTGGGATACATTTTGTCCCATTCCAAATCTGATGTGAGCATGGAAAATTACAGCAGCTCTGCAGGTTCTCAGTTTTACACTGTTAAACTAAATTACTGGTTTATTTCTGATTTTTATGGTAATACTTTCTTTCATTGTCAGATCTGTTTTCTCTGCTAGTGTTTTCAAGGGCACTAATGATGGGTGATCATTTCTTAAAATCAGGGCCTGTATGTTTCGGTTCTTAAAACCAACACAATTTTGGCCTGGCAGTAAGACTATCTAGATCGGGAATCATTTAGGATTGCTGAAATTTGACTGACAAGTATCACCTAGTTATTTCACTCAAATTACTAGATAATGGCAGATTTCTGTCTCTGTCAACCTCAGCTGCATGCGAAGAATTACTGCAGAGATTGAATTGAGAATTTAAATCTCCAGTGAACATTACTTCTAAAATATTTCACTTGCATTATATACTGTTATTACAGTAGAATTTTACATCATCTGCTTGCATAAGTAAAACAACTCTTAGTACTGTCAAAACTGGAAAGTAACAAATGTGTTTAACCAGTAAACTTCTTGTAAACTACACAATGTCTCAAAAATTCATCTCAGATTATCTGTTGATTTTAATAAGAAGAAAATCTGTACTGTCTTAATTTCTTACAGATAGAAACAAATTAGAGTTTTGATAATTATGGGACTGAGTTGTGATCCCTTTGAATAGCAGTTTTCTTGGCAATTAGTCATCCTGATTTTCGTTCATTGATTCAGTCATAATTGATTTTATAGGGATTAATTTCAGTGAATACCATGATGAAAGCCAGTTGCAGAGGCTTTCAGCCCAGAGCAGTTTTATTGTCTTACAAAAATGACAAGATAGGATAAACTTACTCTAAAATTTAAAATTATGTTTGAATTATTAATGAACTGTTAGTAGCATGAAAACCATGGTAAAATTCTTCTTATTATTATTATTATCATTATTATTATTTTTATCATTATTATTATTATTTAGTAAGTATTTTACTTTTTAGGTTCCCAATATAATTGATTCGGTTTAAACTAAAAGAGTAAATTTAAGTTATTCTGTAAATAAGACTATTAAATTTCAAGGAAGTACTGATAAACTAAAGCAACTAAGAATGTAAAGGCAGAGGAAGCCTGAAAGGGAGAAAGCATAAGGAATCTGCATTTTCCCAAGGAAGGAGCATAGTTTTCTGTAGAAATTTAATAAAAAGAATGCCTAAAAGTAATGAAAAAAAAAACAAACTATATCACAGAGGGAAAGAAGGCATGCTTGAAGTGAACATTTCCAGAAGTCGTTGAGAGTTAAGAATTACTGGTAATACTGAAAACAATCAATTGTTCTTGCTGTATAAAGGAGTACTGTACAGGAGAAGCAATGCTGATGGTGGGACAGAGGTAATATATGAAGCAGTGAGGACAATCCTGAAAGAATATATTTCATTTTTCAGCTAGGGTGATTATTTGAGGATGAAGGTAGAATGGGAATAAAATCAAATGTATGAAAATAGACATTACTATAGTCAAAGTGGAAGTAAAACGCAGAAATCAAAGCTCTCAAGTCAAGATGATGTAGTAAATCTTGATCAAAGAAGTCTGGAAAGAGAACTGGATCATGCAATTTCAAGTCTGGTAGCAAAATCTGTCAAAATAGGAGCAGTGCTCTGTGAAGATGGAATAGAAAATGTCAAATATTTAGGAAAAGAAAAAATCATCGAAGGAACTGAAGACATATTAAATTGAATTAGACTAGTCAAGGATTTTGGACAAATCCTTGGCGGGGGGGGGAAGCAGATTCTTTGGGTAGATACAAAAAAGGCTAAAAATTGTCATGAAGTTTATCAGCAGCAGTTTTTGCAACACTACACTGAGAACATTTTTTTATATTTGGTATAGGTGAGATCTTTACACAGCCTCAGTTCATTTGTTGTCACAAATGTCTAATGCCTTTAGAGAGGGATAAAGTAGGGAGAAGGTAAGTGCTGGCCTGAAGACATTTACCTAGCACTAATGGAACTCTGAAATAATTAGTCAACACTGGGGACAAATTTTGTTTAATGCTTTTGTGCACAACTTTGGTGCAAAAATTAGTTTAAAAGATAAGAGTCAGTACGGGTAAGGATCTAGATATAAAGAATGAATTGAGTAATTGAGTAACTTTGAAGAGTGGCATGACAGAGGTGGATTCCAGCTCAGCAGTACTAAATATAAGGTCAGGCATTTTGGAACTGATAATAAAATTTAAGAAACGAATGAGGAAGAAGAAGTTTCAGTATATACTACTTGGTCAAAAAAATAATCAAAGTGATGCAGCTGAGCAAAAGATAAATGGGATGAGAGGAATTATTAATCAAGACATTTGCATCAATGAAAGTCAGAAACATTAAAACCACTTCATAAGACAGGGTTGTCACTTCATTTGAATATAGCATGAGAATACAGCACTATTATCTCACTTGGTTAAAATGGCTTCCTGATTACTATGAAGTTAAATTGCATTCATGAGCTAATATGAGGAATGAATAATCTGTGTTCCATAAGAAAGTGTTAGAGAATGTCTCATTCCAGTCTTTAGAAGACTGAAAAGAGTATATAACTGCTGCTTATAGATACATCAGAGGAAGCATAACAAGAAGTAGAAGACTTGTTTAAAATGAAGACCTATTTAAAGTGGTGGCATATATGTCAAATAGATGTATAGTCATGATAAATCATTTTAAACTGAATGGAAGCCTCAAAGTTTTCAATATAGAACAACTTTCTGGAGTAGTAGCCTGGATATCATTGTAATTTTGGGATGAAGGTTGATCAATAAATTACAGGGAGTATATGATGAAGTTATGGCAGATGATTAAACTCAGTGCTGCTGAGGTACCTTTGAATGCTGTCCTCCCTTTTCCTATTGTATGTATCTATCTGGTGGAACTGGGATGGTGACCAGATGATACAGAAAGTGTTGAAAGATTTATGTAGAGTTGCGAAGTCCCCAGTCAGCCCTGACACATGCTATTCCTGAATACCAGAATATATAATGGAGCAACAGTGCTCCCATTTCAGAAATCAAGTGTTTATTTGTAGGTATAGCCTGGCTGCTAGAAAGCTTCTATGTATGTGAAGGGAGAAGAGAGTTTTGCAAACAACAGGCTACAGTCCCACTCCATCACCTGGGCTGAGAACCTGACCAGCTGTAACGGTTCATGAACACAAGCTTGGAAGCACAGGTTATTGTGCCATTGTAGATGAGACATTTTCCTAGACAGTAATCGTGTCCTGAGAGAGTACATGATTACTTTACAACGACATGGGAAAGAGACTATGGAGAAAAAAGGGATAAAACTATGAAATACAGTTTTCATATGCCACAACTTTGTCACAATAATCTCCTTATAATCTTAGTATTCTTTTAATCACATACAATTTTGCTGAAGTCCTAAACATTATGTTACTTTTCTCTCTTTGCGTAGCCATCTTTAACAGGCTTTAACAGAGATGCACTCACTGTGTGTCATCTCGTTCCTGTAAGACATCTGACAAAAGGACTTTGTGATACAGCATTATTATTGCTGCATTGTATTTATTGAGTGATGCTTATGTTCTCAGGTATAACAGAGCCTTTTTATTAAAACTGAAAATTGCTTGAAAGTCTGAATAGTTGATCTGTACAAATGTTAGCAGTAGATTATCTAACTTAGCCTAAAAACATGGCTCCTAGGGAGCATCAGAAGACACTGTCTATCTGGCAGTCAGCTCTGTCTTTGGGTTATGTATTTACTATTTCTGTCTTGCAAGGACAAAACCTTTGTCTTCAACACTATTTGCACCTTGTGATCAGGAGGTAATAGAGTATGTAACATAATATGCCTCTGTATAGTTTTTGCAAATAGAGATTCAGAGTATTTACAATCAATTCATAACTTTCCTGCCTTCAGCTTTGCATCTTTCTTTTCATGAATGACAATAATGAAAGAAGGGGAAAGAAAAAGTAAAATAGATATGTAGACAAGCATGGTTATAAGCACTATTTCTGTATCTCTGTTGTGCTTATTAAACAAGAAGGAAAGGATTCAGATCCCATCCAGTTTTAACATCTTGTCATCCTCTTGCTTACGCTTTTCATGTTCTGTTGACAAAATTATTTCTGAATGTGTTCGTAATGTGGTGTATAATCAATTTGGTTTAATAATTGACTAAAAAGTAGTATGGGAGGATTCCAAGTTACTGTAAAATTGACTGCAAGTCTTCTCTTCATGAACATCGTTATCTGCATTTGGGATTTGTGTATATGCCTTGAGAAGAGACTACTGAACCTGCTGAGACAGATTTTGTTTTTACTTGGTTGCTCAACCTGAAGAAAATTTTCACACAAAACAATTTGCAACAATGAATCCCAAGTTCTTAATTCACTTCAGAGATGGTTGAACTACTTTTTTCAAACCATTAATTCATCAGAACTATATTTCTCACTAGTTTATGCATTACTTGTGAACCAGTTCAAGCATATTCTGATTTTTTGTTATTCTAGAGTAATTGATTAAGAGATTTTAAAGACATATCTGCTACAGCTTTACTTATTGGTCTGTTTTGTTGAACAGCTCGGTTATGTGGGCTGGGTATTCTTACCTAGTTAGGCTGGAGTACAGGGAGGAAGAAACCATAATGGTGGCTAAAGGAGGATAAATTCCCTGAAGAAGTCTGAAAGGCATTGTTTGCCTCAGAGAGAGGAACACTTCACGTGAGCAGTAGAGCAGAAGTCTGAGAGGGACTGTATTAACTGTCATGGAGGAGGAGTATGCTGATGTTCATGGAAGTTTTGTGAAAAAGGGAAAGCTTCATTATGCTGGAGTTACTTTTTCATAGAACATTAAAAAAAAAAAAGTTACTATCTTGTCTTTGGTGCTTCAAGCTATGAGTGTTAGCTTGCAGCTGCACTCTTGTGTAAATATTTCCTGGTCCTTAGTGAGTTTGTGTGCCCATGACCACAAATTATTTTTGTTCATTTTTACACTCCATTTTTTCTGTCAGAAATGTTGAAAGCATAAGAGCCTCACATTAGGAAAAAATCGATTGCTTAAGCTCTGCTGGTGCAGGACCTGCTGCGATTGCAGGGAGATACTGGCATGTGCCAGGTCCCTTCCGCCTAACCAACCTTTTAGTAGCCTGTAGCATCTAGTGTTTTGTGTAGCAAGGAGTTTCAGTGCAAGCTGAAGGAAGTACAGATAAGTCATTTATCTGCATCTTCACTGCAGGTTATATCAGTTACCTCATGTCTACCTTTCTGTGTTGAAATAATAAATGCTGTAACAAGAGCTTTTGTGAATTTGCATGTGCATGTTATTACATTGGAGACCATGTGCATCCAGCAAGTAAGATGTGCAAGGGCATAAAACCAACCACAATTAAACAGTGCCTTTCTAGTTTAAAATATTTGTAATCAGTCTAAAGTTTCTTAAGTTAATCTATTTGCTGACTTTTGTAGTTCCTTGATGAATATACTGCAATCAAAAAAAACCCTGAAATTCATTATCCAACAAAAATTACTCATTCAGCTACATCTTGTAATAATCTCAGGCTCTCCTGAGCAGAAATTGTCAATTCTTTTGTGACGTGGTAGTGTTATTTTACAGAAAGTAAACTGTAACTCACAACTTGAACTTAGCCTTTAGAACTGAAAGGACAGTACTTAAGTTTTTTTAAGAAGTTTTTTCACAGCATCCTTAATAGCTAAGGAAAAATCTATTTAAGGTAGCATCAAAAATTCTTGGGGAGTATTATTGCTATGGGTTGTTGATCTTTTCAATTAAAAAGCACCGGGAAAATAAAAGTGTGTGAGAGAACAGAGTGGAGATTGCAGTGGAAGACTGGTAGCCTGAGTAGTAAGATAGGAATTCATTTCTTATGTTTTGACTTGAGGGGGAAGAGGTCATTTTTAATGGAAATGTAAAGTCCCAGAGAATTTGTCCAGGATACTTGGTCTGAGCAAGAATTGGTTTGGGAGTAGATGTGGCCCTAACTGTAAATAAAGTTTCCACTAGGTATAAAATGCAGATTGCTTTTAAGTCAAGTTATAATAGGAAAAGAGAAGCAAATTTATGAAAAGTCTTTTGCATAGCTGAACTTTATCAGAAGGTGAAATTATTCACATAATCAAAAATGGACTCTTAAATTAATCTACAAAACCTATATTAAAATATCATTAAAGATGTAACAGAACATAAGGTGATACATGTGCATTTCTGAGATCCAGAAGATGTTAAGAGAAATAGGAGTAACTGGAAAATGAATAGCCAGTCACACCATGCAGGACTGTGACCTGTTAACAGTAGGAATACTTTATGTCTTGCCTTAATTCTGTGTTCCCTTGTTTTTGCATCAGCAACAGCTAAATTTGTGGTTAATATATCAAAACTATGGATTCTAGATAACTTTTAATACCTGCATGTAATGGAAAAAATCCATTCTTCTTCCAAAACTCAACAATAATGTTTACAAAAGAAATTTTCTAAAATAAGAAAAAAACAATTACTTGTTTTTATCTTATTCAAGTTTGTATTATATCTCAGAAACAGCACAGTATTTATCAGTGTATCCAAAGAAGAAAACATTTTGTATATAAAGCACAAATAAAACAATATAGAAATCTTGTTCAACGTGGAGAAAACTTGTCAGATACGGTTTCTTTGAGCTGCAGTTCATAAGCTTCACTTAGATTCTTCACTTACATTTTTTTCACAATTTAATGATGTTGTATCTGGAAGCAGCACCTTGTAGGCTGATAGATGATATAATGGGTTCTCAATTTAGGATCTGATTTTGAGCTCAGCTATAGGTATGATGGAGCTGTAGTGTTTATACTGTTTGAGTCAACTCTGTATAGCAGGATTATGGTACGCATCATGAAGAAAAAGAAGCATCCTTCATGAAATATGAGAAAACATTTCATATAGCAGTCAATTATTTTCATTCCTATAAGAGAGGTGATGTATTAAATATGGCATAAACAGCAGCTAACTATGGATTATAGTATTACATTTCCATAGAGAATTTCAACTGACATCATAGACTGGCACAGCAAAGTTACAGAAACAGTAGTCCATGCATTATTAATCCTGAATCTTTACTTTGCAGAAGTTTACATTTTTTCTGTGATAATTTCTCCTGTACTCTTGGTGTTGTTCCTAGAAGTCTCTCTTCATGCTGCAGCCCAGGACAAAAAAGTGGGATGCTACATAGAAATGCCTTTCGCAGGACTCCTCCCTTACCTCGGGGTAGGTTCAATGGAATTACAGGACCAGCATATCAACAGCTAGAAGAGTCAAGGATCACAGACCAGGACACAATACCTTGTCACGGGTAAGTAATAATGTAACTGAAGTGAGCCAGTGTGTGAGTATCTGCTGTTATGTGGTTAATATGCTTTGCCATTACAGTCCTTCCAACTTTGTTGTAATGTAGTGTGGATCCAGGGTTTATAGTATTGAAAGCAGAGGAATGTTTTCAGCATACTGGCTCTTTGAAGGTAATACATTCTCATTTGGCTGGCTGCTCTTTTTAAGCCTTTCAAAGGCTGTAGTCGAAAGTGATTAGAACAAAGTGATTGGCAATGTTACTCTTTATAATGGATGGTTTTTCTAGTGGCGATGTGATGTTCTAGTAGCTTTTGCATAGCATTTTTTTCTTCCATCAGCACTGAGCAAATAAGAGAAAATAATTCAGATTATTTTCTTTTTTTTAATAAGTCAATGTACATTGCAAAGTGTGTTTGCTGTAGAGACTGAATAGCGGTAACTTCAAACAAGTTTGTCTTTGAAACTGCACAAAGAATCCAGTATTTTTCCTTTTTCAGTTCAGCTTATTGGAATATTGAACGTGAGCTCCAGCTGTACGTAAGGTCTGTATTTCAGAAGTGCTCCTGAGCACCTACAGCTAGCTGCCTTTGAAGTCTTTTGCAATTGCGTATCCCTACAGATTTCCGAAGACTTTCTAGAATCACTGCAGACATGTTATATGTAAAACTAGGAGTGATATCTGGAATGGAATAATAGTTTCATTTGGACACATGTGAGTCACAGCTGAGTGCAGTGAAGTGAGCAGTTGTATGTTTTCCATATCAGAACTGGCTTTATGGAGTGCAGAACTAAGCCACCTACATGTTTAATTTTCCTGAGGGAAGAAAGGTCACTATCCACTCTGAGCTCCTGGGAAATGGCAGTCACAAGTGCTGACTGAGAATAAGTGCTTTTACACGTGTGTTGTGGGCACACACGCAGGCATGCACACATTGCATCCATGTCTGCCTCACCATGCTTTCCAACCTGCAATGAGACTGCCCAGTCTGGGGAACAGTGTGAGAGGGGGACTTGGTTCACTAAATGTTTTGTAGCTGATCTACCTAACAAAGTTGGCATCAGTAATTAGGAAAGACAGACCAAGAACAGGGCTTACCTGTGAAGGGAGAAAGCAAAGCCTCAAAAGGTTTGTGTGTCTGGTGACCTCTTTTAAAGGTATAAATTTGTCTCATACTTTTTTTCCTTTTATTCTTTGCTTCTTCTAAGGAAAACTTATTTAGTAATCCTTGCAGTAAATACATTATTGTTCATGTGTATGATGATGTGTGTATAATTCATTATAAAAATTGTGACTCCAAATGCAACCCTTCCTGAAAGGGGCAGGCTAAGAGCCTTCCCTCTTTAATGGCAGCGTCTTGTAACACAGGCTCTGGAGAGTGCTGCGGCCCCTTCCTCGGTTGAGAAGTGAGGTAGCTAGCAGCAAACCTGTCTTGCAGGTAGTTGTATTTTCTCTTCTCTAGGAAATCAGTGTGTGATATTACAAGCATCATCTTGTACTGGCCTATATTTTAAATTTGCAGGTCTGCAAAAGGTTGATATTTGGACCAGACTGTTACCCCTTCTGGCCTCAATCCACTCAAGCACTTCATCCATATTTTGTGTGCTAGGGATGTCTGTAGAATTAGATCTTCCTAATATTGACTATAACAACTGGACCATTCTCTGAAGGAGCAATAACAGGTGGTGTTGTGACAGGGATTCAAAGCAGTCTGTGTATATCACAAATATGATACCAAAAGTCTTCAACTGGTATCCATGGAAATTAATTTTTTAAATGTCAATGTAAGACATGAAAATAAAAACAATTCTTTGATCTTATTTTATTACAGTGTTTTACTGGTGATGTTTTTTATGAAAATTTAGTCTTTTAATAATGTAGCAAAACTTTTTGCAAGTTATTTTGTATTGCAGCAAAGTAATCTCTCAACCAGAATATAAGTACGCATCTTAGTTTTGAACAAATATAAAAAATAATTCGCTAATTCTACTTTATGTGGAATTCTTCTAACTTAGGAAGAGGTTTCCCCAAAATCAGATGGCTTTCCATCTTCTAAGTATCTACTAGTTTTATAGTGTTTGTATTCTCATTAGATTTCCAGCCCAAAAGAAAAGTTCCCTTGTTCCCTGCAGAACTTACACTACTTCCTTTCTTCTCCCTTTTCACCTCCATGTTTTCCTATAGGGATGCATAAACCAAAGTGATTTATGTCCCTAGTTGTTTGACCCTTCTGAAGTTCATCCATCAGCAGTTTAATCAGATTTTGTATATTTACATTTGATAGAAAGGAGGCTAATTTACCTGATTAGTTTTTGTCTAGGCTGTAAAAGGGCTCCTCTTCCCATCCCACGTTGAGAAGAAAGCTTTTGCCACCTTCCAGAAGCACCAGACCTCATGATTTGCAACAGGAGCTAATATTTGCAGAGTTTGAGTCAAAGACTGCTAATATCAGTTATTTAATCACTATGCTACTTGAAGGAGTAGAAAAACCTGCCTGAAATGAGGGGCCTAAAGAAAACAAACTATCTCAATGCCAGTCACATCTCAGTGACCAGTTTGAGTCCCTGAGGGTGTCACGAGTTTGCATGCAGTGGTTTGATCACATGCTTCCAGTGACAGCTCTTCATGTTACACTGTATGAAGTGTTGGAAGTAATGCCTTATAGCCTGTAACTGTGTACATATACAGATATAAATGTGCTTATATATACAAGAGCCAATGTGTCATATCTACAGGTAGAAAATGGGGTGTATATATATATAGGTGTATGTGCTTACAAGGCTGAACCAAAGCCCAGTAATGCTCCTAGAATGACTCCTGTTTGTTTTAACGGGCCTTTTCGTCAGGCTCTTGTACTGGACATCTATAGTTATAGGTCTTATAGCTAAGCTATTGTACTGTGCTAAACAAAAAAACATTTTATATTCTAAGTACCAATCTCTTCTGTCTCTCTTTATATGTGTTTTACAGGGACAGTAAAATTATTACGCTTTTTTCAGTGTCATTCTTTAATTTAGACTCTTGAACGCTGAGTGAGTTGTTGCATATTTATAAATGTTCAAGTTTCTCTTTTTTTTTTCTTGGTTTTAAGGAAAGGGTGGAAAGAAAGCTGCACTTTGAAATACGAGCACATGAATGAATTCGTTCAGACAAAATAATTTTTCACATAAAAAGCCAGATATTCTTGGGAGGAACTATTGTTCTGGGAAAGTTAATTATAGGAAAATGTAATTAAGATTCTGCAATTATAGGTCTAAGTCTCAGTCTACTGAAAACAGCAGCAGTCTTGTGTCACAAGTAGAAATATGGATCAGTTTATAATTGACCAAAAGCAGACTCTTACAAGACGTAAATGTAATATCCCTGCTAGTTTAATACCTTGCCCATTGCACAGTGTATGTGCTTTAATTCAACCTCAGTCCTTCTTTGAAAGCCTTGTAAGCACAGGGCAGAAACATATAATTCTGGCAGAAAATTGGTGAGTCTATCTGTACTTCAAGAAATATCATGGAAGTATGCCAGGCATTGCATTACATATTATTGTTGCTGCCAATTAGTGTTCAAAACACCAAGAACAACTGAATCTCTATTACGGAATTGGCAAATGTTATTGTTTTCTCACCAAACCCATTTTAATTCAGTTTTTTCTTGGTTTTGCTTATGTATCATCCATATAATGCATCCATTGCATGTGGAATTCATGAAAAACATTCCCTTCCTTTGTTTTCAGGGTGCAGCCCAGAATATATTTAGGGCCCGAATTACCAAAAAAGGGAATAATGCAACTGATGCGATCTCTCCAGCTATAGTCGTTTGAATTATATAATAAGCAAAGGAAACAAGAATGGGCACAACCCAAAGGTCTGCATTGTTTTGTTTTCATTTATTTTTTTTTTAATTATCTTCCCTTGGGAATAATATCCCTGATCAGTATTTCATTCATACTGATACTTGAAAACTGTTCTAAAAAGACCCTCCATAAATGGCTACACGTGTGTCTAAGCAGAGTGCAAATGCCGTTAACCAAAGCTGAGTCTTAGCTGGCTCAGATGTAGGACATAAACACAGCTATACAGCATGTACCAGAAGTTCTAGAATGCATCTGAAAAAGCCGCTTGCTATATTATTCCCCTGGGTTTCACTTCCCAAAGCAGTATGTCTTTCCATCAGATAGCAGCAAAGATCACAACACCTCCTCCATATTGCAGCACTCCCAGCTGCGTTTTCTGGTCTTTTGGGGACACCTGGAGAGTTTTCATATAAGGGCTGTACAGAACTGCATGCATGCACATGTACAGGTTAATGTGTCAAACAGTTGTACAAACACAGTGCCACCATATATGAGTTAATTACAAGTCAGTGGCGCTCTGCTGGAAATGAGCCTAAAGATATCTCCTCCTCTCTCCTGTCTGACAGCCTGCCAGGAGGATGAGGCCAAAGGGAAGCCTTTCCACTTAATTAGTGTTGTGAGCTAATATTGGACTATGGCTCTTTCATGCAATTCACGTTCTATTCCTTAGTTCTTTTTCTGCTAATGCCAAAAAGCACCAAGGCATGGATGAGTAGGAGGATATCCCTAGTGAAGTCCCGCAGGCTTAAGCAGCTTTCAGAAAAATACCCTTCAAGTCATAGCTCAAAGCAGCTGCTTCCACACCAGATGTAAATGTTGCTTTCCTCATCTATGGATAAAACCTATTAGACTTCACCATTAGCTTGACTTTAAGTAGTGATATGATCACAAAGCTGATTATAAATAAAATATGTTCCAGTACTGAGGTGATGTCTGTGGTCCTTGGCAATCATGACTAACTCATAGAGCACCATATTTGTAGTCATGCTACTTCTCAGATGGGAAACTTTTTTTTGTCATTGTTTCCTTTGGTTTATATTTAGTACACTTTCCACTTCTGTTTTTTAAGTATATAATGTAAAACTCTTTCTGATCAGAGTAATGGATTTGGCTTTAAAACAAATCAGAAATGTTGATAAAAATTCGCCTAAGTTGCCTCATAATAAATAAAAAATCATGCTATGATAATGTATTAATGGAGGATAAAGATTTTATTTTTATGTTTTTTTGAAGCACAGGATGACAGTGTCAGGAAAACACAGACATTTGCTCAAGCCAAATGTATTAGCTCTATTTCCAAATGAGATCCAAGAAAACAAATCAGGTCAACATTAGGAGTATGGGCTGTTGAAAAAAACGCGTGTTTTTAGAGGTATGCTGCACTTAGGTGCTCTGCTTGTTTGAAGGGGAGCACAGGCAATCATTTCTATATACATAAAGACTACACAGCCGTGTTTTGTTTAAAGTTCTTTTATTCTCGCACCTTTTTAAAGTGTTTTCCTAAAGTAGCCATTTGACATTGAGAGTTCTGAACTCACAAATGAAAGCAAAGAAAGCATCAATCCACTTCCCCAGTTAGGAGCATAGGAATGGAATTTCAAATATAACGTCAAAGACAAATAATAATACAGTACAACTCTTGAAATCTTTTAAAAAGGAATTGTCTTTTTTCTCATATACTGGTGGGCAAAATGAGACTGAGAGGAAAGCAATGGTTTGCCACCAGCAGATCTGAGAATCAAAGCCAGGTCTCCAGAGTCTGTTGTTTTCTCCAGGGCCACACTATTACCAAGTGTTCCTAGAGTGAGGGGAAAATGACATGCATCTTTTCAGCACAGTTTACTGAATGGCAGAGTATTACTGCTGCTTTTTGCATCTGACCACTTGATGTACAACAAAACCTTCTTTTTACTCTTTCCAGGTATTCATCCAGTGGTTTAAAAACTCCTCAGAATACTTCAATAAATATGCAACTGCCTTCAAGAGAGACAACCCCTTATTTTAATAACATGGATCAGAAGGACTTGGTCGGCTATTCGTCTTCAAGGGCCAACTCTGTTCCCATCATCCCATCTGTGGGCTTGGATGAAGCCTGCATGCAAATGCAAAATGTTTCTGAAGTAACAGGCATCAAATGGTGCAAAAACTCCTATTCAGCTGAACTTGTCAATGTGAGTTCCCCAGTCAGTAATTGTCTTATAGCAGAACAACATGAAGTGAAAATATTGCTAGAAACTGTGCAGGAGCAGATTCGGATTCTGACGGACGCGAGGCGGTCGGAGGACTATGAACTGGCGAGAGTAGAAGCAGAGAGCAGCACGAGCGAAAACACGGCCTTTCTGCCCATGAGCCCCGTGGCCAAGTCAGAGCAAGAGGCACAATTTGTCTTAAAAAGCGAAACGCAAAGAGACTCGGTATTGACCAAGTGACTTTGTGTGGGGATTGTGGGAGGGGAAACGAGATCTGTGCATTTGATGCTTTGCTAAACAGGAAGGGAGGAAATTAAGTACAAATTATTTATATGCATTAATTTAAGAGCATCTACTTAGAAGAAACCAAATAGTCAATCGCCCTCATATCATAGTGTTTTTTAACAAAATATTTTTTTAAGGGAAAAGTTCCAGGAGGGATGACGTGTGCGTCAGGTGCTTTCTAGGCAGGATTACACGTGAAGTTTCAGTTACAGAGCATTTTACCATGGTCCTCTTCAGCTCTCCAAAGGCTTAGGCTATGCATCTTTTCTTTAGTAAAGGCCAAGACCATTCTTAGATTGATTTCTGGTTTCAGGGCAGTGCTGCAGTCAGCTGCTGCCCAGGGACTCAGACCCTGGGGAGCAAGTCCCATGACCCCACCACAGACCCAGTACCTTCTCCCCCTCTCCTCTTGGTTCCAGGTTCGCACCATGGCACACAGGCATCTACTTCTGAGGTCTGGTACGTACTGTGGAATGACAATAAATCCCTAAATTGAGCCAGACACTTAACTCTCAACCTTACTTTAATGTGTCAGTCAGTCCAAGAAAGTCAATGGAAACATTTAGGAGCTTTGTGTTCAGCCAAGCGTGGAGTGGGATTGGGGTCTCTAAAGATACAGTGGTCAGGAGCCTGCGGGTGCTCCATTTTCTGAGCTTTGCCTGTCAGAGCAGCCTTGGTGGAGAGTGAGGAAGAACAAAAAGTCCAAATGTGTTTGTTATGGAATGTTTGGATTTGATTTGGGAGTTTTTGAGTGGGAACATAAATTCTGTTGTTCATTAACGACCCCTCAACATTTCTAAACTGTTATACTTTGAAGGCACTTGTAAGCTCTCAAGGAGCACTTCTAAGTATGTGTGTATTTTTTTTTAACTTATTTTTTATTATGGGTTGTTGAAAGAAGAGTCAGTTAGATCCAGAATGATCAAAATCCATCTTATAAGTGTCCACACTGCCCTAATTTGTTCCTACTTTCACTTCTCCAGTCACTTCAATTAATCATGGCTTAGGCTTGTGAACTTTAAAGCTTCAACCCTGCAGATGGTTCAGTATGGGCAGACCCACAAGCATGCATAGATATAATTCTAATTGAGCTAGGTAAGAGCAGATGGTTTCCACCAAATCACTCCCTGCAGGGAATCAAGGCCTTAGAGAAGAAATGTCATTTCCTGGTTGCCATATCCCAATCACATTATAAGCATTTTTTGCAATTGCTTTCTCTTGAGTCCTTCTTCCCCCATAACTTATAACACAATATGCCAATAATACAAGGAATTGGATTCAGTGGCATACACATTACTGGTTTTATTAGTGTTAAAATATCTCCTTATTCGTGGGGAAAAGTAAAATCAGCTATAATAAATAATTGCTAAATAGCTTTCCCTGGTTAATGACAGAAGATTGATTAAAAAAAAATTTACAGTATATACAGAGTGTAATAAAATACTCCTTTGCAGCAAATTAATTGTTAAATTTATTTATGTGCCCCAGACTTACCAGTTCTCAAGACTTCCCAAAATAGCACAATCAATCATGCAGTGCTGTTGTATGTTGAGTCAGAATAAAGCAATATTTTAACCTCTGTCAAGTAAATTTGCAAAAGAAATGCTGAAGGTGTATGTCATTTTTTTTGTTAAGGCAGTAAAAAAAATTACTATTCACAGTCTTCATTCACCAAGTCTTATTTTGGGTTTCTTTTGAGGTTTTGTTTTTTGTTTTGGCTTGATTTTTTAAGATAAAGTTAATGAAATTGTCGTGTTTACAAAACTTTCTATGCTGTAATTTTTGCTGTGTATTTTCAATAAAAATACATTTGAGGGCAAACTCGCTTTGTGCCCCAGGATGGAGCATGCCTCATTGAGAAATGCCTTCTTCAAAGACACAGGGCTTTTGTTGTAGCCGTAATGTGCGATCACCATGAGGAGTGGTCTCACCCTGACATGTTTCTGCAATATGCTGTGGCTGGGCACAGTCTCACCATGCATGAGTTGAGCTAACCACGCTAGGTATGGCCCCAAGCCCACACCAAATAAACCCTCTGAAAAACGAGGTGTTTTAGGTGGGGCTCAGCTTCACATCCCTATAGTCATATGACTTTTCTGTCAACACCATTTACATCCCACCAGCTCAGGACATGAGCAAAGTGAGGTTGCCTCTGCCCATAAATCCTGTGAATATACCTGTAATATAAAACCTGGCTACTATGTAAAGCTCTGATTCAATAATTCTTGAAGTGTGATCACAATTAATTAACTGTTCATCATTAATTTCATCAAGAAATGCTCTCTCTGCAATAAATGCAGCATCCTGCCCAGACAGATGTTTCAAAATTAAATCTTTTCAATCCAGATGTAGGGCCTTTTCACCCCCAAATCCTACCAAACTGCAAATTCACCTTTAGCAACCAACATATTGGAAATACACAGCAAAATTTCTGTTGAAGAAAGAACATGTCATAAGCAATGCCTTTATGGAGAGAATGTGTTCACTCAGCACGCCTGAAAGACTCAGAAAGAGGGGAAGAGCGATGTATTTAAGAGAACGAAATGTTTGACTGAACGATAGATCTTAAAATGGTGAGGATATCTTCAGTTCATGTTAGAGATGCGATCTTGTACTCAGCAAAGGATGTGTGACTGTTATATGTTAACTGTTCTATTCAGTTTTCAGCATGTTTGAATAGAGAGACATTAATATTAACCATATGACAGACTAGTGTATTATTTGTTAAGAGTATCACTTCAGATCCTATTGAAACTGTCATCGTTTGCAGAGGAAAAGAAAAAGGTTTGAAAACATCAAACTAGGTAGCCTTAATGTCATTTGTGTGTTTCTCTAATGCACCAGTTTTCCTCCATGGACCCTTCTATTTTACAATGAATGGAAAAAGTTTTCTCTGAAGTCTGACAGTTAACTATGTAGAGGACACAACAGAAAGTTGTACCGAAATAGCCAAAATGGTAGGCCGAATTTTGCGTTACTTCCAACCCCTATGGTCACACTGAACTCAGTGGATCAGAAGGGATGTGAGTCAGTGCAGTTCATTCCTAAAATTACATCTGTTCCTATTCTTGGAAACAGACTGTAATTCCTCTAAAAGAGTCTCTGAACTCAGTAATTTACCTGTAATGTAATTAAAAATTATATCTGACCTATGAAGTTTCAAGTGTAGTCTGGTGTGAAAATTCACACATGCAGCATTACACTCGAGTAAACTGGGAGAACAGCTAACTAAATAAATTGAACTTCCTCTGAACTGAACAGAGAAAGCCTGTGTCTCTTCAGCATAATACTGTGGAGCAGAATTGTGAGAGAAGTGTATATCCTGATTTTTTTCTTTTCTTCTGTATAGAATTTCTTCAAAATAACCCTAAAAAAAAAAAAAAAAAACCAGGTAGAATGACCCCAGCATTTGAAATAGGAAATGTAGGTGAGTATGGGCACATTTCACAACATTAAGCACTGGAAAATTCTTCAGTACACCCATGACACAAAACCGGAACATTCTAATTCTTGCACAGCTAAATTTTGATCAACAAATGCATCCATGGAAAAAGAGCTCTTCAGAATGCTTTTAGTATCTAGCCACGCTCCCAGCTGATGTAGTCAATGTAGTAATGACAGTTTATATTAATAGAGGATTACATCCAAAATCTCTTCTACTCAATCTTCAATGCAGTGTCACAGAGTTTAGTAGCCTTCCATGTGGTGTAAGGACTTCTACACTGATTTATGGAGCTATCTTCATTTAGCTTATGAAAATCATACTTGTGTCAGTGTGTGAAAGCCCTCACCAGAATATGGTGCAAGATTTGTTGCCCAAATGATTGGTTTGTCAGGTCTGTCTATTGCAAGGGCTGAGTGTCACTGACCAGGCTCTAAAAACAATGAACTTTCCACCAGGTGGCTAATGCCAGTGTTATTCATTAAAATAATGAACAGCTTCAGGTTTAAATTTTGAAAAAATAACGAAATGATGGCATGTGCTCATGACCATGCATGTGCTAGATATGTTCCTGAATCAAATATTCAATCATAAGATCATGAGAAGATAATTCATGTCTACTTCTCATGTAAGTAGGGAGAAAATCTGCATTCCTCTTTCCAGTTCATCCCCATCAAGGCCCACTTCTATGCTGTCGTATGCCTGTTTGATTTTTTCTGAAATCACTGAACTTGCAATGGTTGAGCATCTTTATTCATGTTCAGTTTCACCTTGCCCTCAGAATTTAGTATAATTGATAGCCTAATATTTGGGACATTGGAGGTGTTCGCTGAGTAACTTTAAGGCCTAAAACATTCAAAATTTTTTACATGTACGTTTGTCTGCTTTGGGTAGCCCTTATGGGAAATCTTTCCCTTGAAGAAAGATTTATGCAGCCTGTGCTGTAAGGCATTTTAAAAAAAAATCAACATTTCCAGTCTCTGAGTCAGATGCTCTCTTCGGGTTCTCCTGGGCACTGGGACCAGAAACCTCTGACTTCTTTCAGAGTACCAATGACCAGAAGTCATCTGAAGTGTCCTGAGCTATAGCTATACATCAGAACACTTCTGCCTATTAATAGTAAAACGTCTCCAAAGGTTAAGACCTCTCATATACATTGCATTAAATTATATAATAAATACAATGCCAAAGTACATAAAATGAAAAATTATATAGTAAAGATGATTGATTTTATCTATATCTTGCTTTGAAGGAATATGGAATGAGAGCTCTCAGTTGTGTAAATACTTGGAAACTAAAATACAAATAATAATAGAAAAGAATACAAAAATATTTAATATTCTAAAATACAAAAGAGAGATAGTTCCTTGCTTTCTCTGAAATAAACAGTATTAGCTAAAGATTATCAAGACGCATCAGTGAAATGAAAGAAGACCCAGTGAGGGCATTTTATATGTCATGCCAATAATACCTATAAGACAGTGTTTTTTAAGGAATTCAGGCTTAGAGTTTC